TATCATGCCTACTACGACTGGCTCGAGCGTCTCCGGCAACGCCAGCCTTGGTCGAGCCTTTGGCAGCAGGAACGCTAACCGCGGCAAGCTTATTCCTTGAGCGTCTCGTTTCGGCTTCCGTCCAACCCATGTCTTCGCTGCAGTCCTCTGGAGAGATGTCCTCTACACCTACTTCGTATTCCATTTTAGGTTGCAGGTCCCGGAACGCGCAGAGCGTTGAGTCACGTTTGCGCCGGGTCGGCGCATCGGCGACAATCCCCTCCTTGGTTAAGCTTAAATGCACCGGTGGATGTTGCCGTGTAAAAATGTCCAAAAAATGGCTTACAAGTCCACTCACCAGCGTAAATGTAGTATCTGCTGATTTCTTGAGAACTTAGGCACACAATGGGACTGAAAACTCGGCGACAAACTCGTGGATACAACACGAAAGCACTCTTGAAAGCAGGAGCTGATCTCCGCGCGTCCGCACTGGTCGGCACTAGAGCGTCTCCCCAGCGCGGTGCATGCCTGCGAGTATATGGCAAAACCGGCGCCTGGCGTCACACCGCCTGCATGACGCGATGAAATGAACGCAGGCGAGCACACGCACCACCTCACGTTGAAATGTATTGGTGCCTTGACTGTGGCATGTAGTCATGTGCTCACATAACACGCATCTCATGATTGTTATGTTTGCACGAGGCACATACTTTCGTCATCCATTGACGTCACGTAATAACGAATTTGGCATATGTGAAGCTAGCGAAACGGCCGCAATCCATCATGATTGTAGCACGTAGTCATGTTGTTACATGACACGCATGTCGTGATTATCATGTTTGGATGTGTCATTTATCTATGTTGTCCATTCGCATCGCGTAATACCGAGATTGTACATGTGAGGTTGGCGAAACGGTGGTGAGCGCATCATGAGCGTAGCTATAGTCATGTTGTTACATGACAGGCATCTTATGTTTATTATGTTTGCACCAGTATCATACCTTCGTCTACCATTCACGTCCACTAATACCAAATTTGGTATAAACGAAGCTAGCGAAAAGGCCGCCAGCGCATGATGAGTGTGGCATGTAGTCATGTTGTTACATGACACGCATGTCATGATTTTCACATTAGGGTCTGTCGCTTGTGTTAGCCATGCAATCATGCCATACCATACCAGTTTTGCAACATGCCATGTGAACCAAACCACTGCAAGAGCTGCTGGATCATGAAATGTAAATCATGACAATAATGACGTGCATTTCATGATTTTCATGTTATTACTAGTCAAATGTGTTCTTCATACTGTTATGTTATGGCACGCCAAGTTTGGTATCGATACCATTATCGAGACGGCCAGGAGAGCTAAAAGTCGTAGGCAGCTAGATAGATACGCTCAAAGTCGCCGAAGTTCGCTAAGAAATGCTTCGCATTGAAAAAAGAGTAACTGACTTTACCGTTTGTAGTGAGTACAGACGGCGCGTTGTTACAGAATTACAGTTTGCAATCATTGTCTCGTGAATGTAGCTGGTGAGCTATCAGAAAGCAATCAATAAAAACAATGGAAGCATATCCACGGAGTGAATGATGGAGAGTGGGGCGAAGCATTCGTCCGTCCATTCGTTCTTGCTTCCATGCGTCCTTGCGTCCGTCTGTGTGACCGTCCATGCGTCAATCCGCCCGTCCGTGCGTGCGTCTGTTCGTGCGTCCGCATGTTCATCTGTGCGTTCGTCTATGAATCCTGCCCTGCGTCCGTCCATGCGTCCATCCGTACGTGCAGCCATCTGTGCGTCCGTCCATGCATCTGCCTGTGTTTCTGTTCGTCCATCTAGTCAACACTCCAAGTACCACCATCTCGCATCTTTTCATCATATATTCCGCATTAGAAGCACCGCCATCCAGTGGACATTCCAAAGACTAAACGAGAGGTGGCACACGCACGCTTTCATACGGCTTGCGCTTCGTGTCTACTTCCCAACTTTAACCACCTCAAGTTCGTGGTATATACTAGTTCACTGTATTGATGGCACTGCGGCCCAACGCTCGCTAAACCTTTTTAAAACCAAGGAGGTTACGCCCAGCGAGTATAACGTAGCAACCCTTTCTTGTCAGATAATGCTCAGTGTACATGCCAATGGCTGCTAATCGGGAACGAGAGAAAGGAAATTCGGCTTTTTGTTAACGCGCACGCTGCAATTTTTTTTATTGTCCAACAACGCGCAGGAGAAATCTACCACCAGCACCACCTTGCAGGTTAGAGCGTAAGACATGTTACGCACTACTACGAGGGACGGACGGGTGCCGCTTTAAGGAGCTTTGCCCCTAAAGGAGTGCGGCGCGAGATATAGAACGTCGGGCTCTGAATTGTGAGTGCGAAGCGTTAGCCACTAAGCCACGAAGGAGTGCCTCCTTCAACGTTAAAACGGCAAACTCCTTGTATCTACCACCTACTACTGGTGATGAATATCTCTGGGACAACTATCATTTTTTCAGCATTACCAGCGAGATGGCGCAATGAGCGGACGTCGCCACATTGTCAAGACGCTGTAGAGCGAGCTCTCAACTCACGTGTACTTTGCCCCGCGGAGGCAGGGTGGACGCTCACACGTGCGTTCGCTTATCTCGCGGAGAGGACAATCGTACGCCTTGGATGGCCTTGGGCTTTCACTGGAACGACACTGTGGTAGTCACCGGGTGTACAAGTTCACTGCAATCATCGCAATCTTCGTTTGTGAAAAAGGCGTACTTTTCAGACGCAGCGCAGTGACAACTGAGGCGCTTATTCGCGTTCATATGTACCTCTGAGTACGTTTAGTGCGTCATTTGGCGTGAGATACGTGGGGAACGGTGCAGAATGGAAAGCAGATCGAAAGATCCGCTTTCCATTGTGCGCCTGGCCTTCCAATATGTTGCTATCACTTTCATTGCTTCGCCTTTGCGGCAAAGCGGTGACTTTTTTTTAGTTACACCTTTAATTCCACCTTATGGTACTTGGGACCAATCTTGGTAAGAAGCACACAATGTGTTCAGAGGAACACGCGACACAATTACAGCTGCCGTGAAAAGTTGTGCGCTTTCTACCAAGATGGATTCATACCAACTTGCCCGATATAATTGTTTATTAAAGTACTAAGTACTTCATCCTCTGAAGTAATGTTTCTAAAGTGTTATGCCATGTATGCAGGCCCTTGAAGTGTAAATAAATCACACCCATATTCACTAGGCCTTTATAAAGAAGAAAAAAAGAGCAGTTTCTGTTGTGTAGCGGCTGCACAGCGTTTGTTTTCACAAAACGTGTAGGCATGATTAGTAGTGAGTGAGCGGGCGCGTGTACTTAGTCTCTTCGTCTGAGCCTTCAATGATACAGAAAAGTTTCACCTATGTCGGAAAAGCCTGGACATGAACAGGGAGTACGTGAAATCAGGTGCTTCCCGTAATGTTTTTATTTTTTAGTTTTTCAAAGATTTCACTAGAAGGAACGATAGTGTACTCTCTGCTTTAATGTTCCCAGGAATGCGTATTCCTCGCCACCGCTGAATCGATAAATGTACACTATAACCGTTTCATGAGCCTCACGAAGGTTTACTGTCTGAATGCTTTGTTGCTTGGTTGTCTCGCATACTTGCCCATGATGCATAATATTTTTGGTGTACAAGCATAACAGATGTTTTTTACCATGGGCTGGTATTGCGAGTGATTTCAAGTCTCGTAGAATCTGTTTTGCATCTAGCGGTCGTAAATGGTCATTTCACTGTAACGAAGGTCGGCTTGCGGCAGGTGACGGGGGCTTTCCGACTGTAGCCCATCACATGTCGGTGTAAGACAGCATGCACGTGTTTGCGTCACGGTAATACAGCAGTATGAACCCGTAGCACCCATAGGTAAGTTAGACTAGGTCCAAGTTGAGATAAAAGCTCGTGTTAGGACCACCCCTACCCGAAGCCTATATTAGGCACGACTTCCAACGCTTTAGTAAGGTGAAGGGGAAGTGAGCAGACACATGGTCGGATAAGAACGCGTGTATCCGTCCGGAGAACTTTTAGATGCGGAAGCATCTTATACTCGCGCCTTGTAGTGCGCCGTCCGCGCCGTCCGCACCGCTTCTCGAACATTCGACAGCTGACGCGCGCGCATGCGCCGTCGCGCCGTCGCCCACCATCTGTGCCGCGCGCGCTTCTCCTTCGAGAACATTCGACAGCTGACAGCGCATGCGCCGTCGCGCCGTCGCCATCTGTGCCGCGCGCGCGCTTCTCCTTCGAGAACATTCAACAGCTGACAGTGCACGCGCCGTCGCGCTGTATATATACTCAAGGTCGGCGCTCGCTCGCTCAGTTGCCGCTCGTCGGTTGGTTTGTACGGCGCGTCGACGTCCAAGGTCGCGGTGAAATGCATTCCAACGAATCCACAAACACAATGATCGACGTCCCTTCGACCAGCGCCGTCCTTTCGCATACGTGTGTACGTGTTCACTCATTTAACACCCCCTCCTACAACCACGTTAACCAATTTAACCATCGACCCAAGTAAGTCGCAATTTAACACCCCATTTCACAACCACGTTAACCAATTTAGCCATCGACCCAAGTAAGTCGCACTTTAACACCCCGTTAACCAATTATATGCTCCGCATCCTCCTCAGTGTTCCCCCGAGGGAAGCTGCGGGCAATTTTTTTCCCTATATGATAATGCCTATATGTTATCTCATTAAAAACTACTCCACATACAACTCCGGCTTTTTACATTGGTATCGCGTAGGCTAGCCTCGAACAGTTTTAGCCAGCGTGAAAGTTCATTGCTGTTTCTCAATTAAAAACCACCCTGGCTTTCTTACCTAGCGCTGGCAGGAGGATACCATGCATTTTCGCCAATATGAAAGTTTGTTGCAGTTTAAAGTTGCACTTGTTCTTGCCTTTTTCCCATCCGTGTTTTCTACGACGTAGTACTCTTAGATCACGTATCACCAACTGGCCCAATCGTCCTCCACCTTGAATAACATTAAAAACCCACAATGTGACTCGCAGGCGGTCGCATCGACCACGGACATCACGAGAATCGGGCTGCGCTGGCGCTGCGCGAGACATCGGAGTTCAGCGATGCGGTGGCCGCGGCCCTGGAGCTGGTTGACGTGCGCGAAACCCTGGTGCTGGTCACCGCTGACCACTCGCACTCGTTCACCATGAACGGCTACCCTGCAAGGGGAAACCATATCCTGGGATTTGCCGGAATCTCCGAGAAGGACGGTCTTCCTTACACCACACTCTCTTACGCCAACGGGCCCTCGACGACCAAGAGGAAGGCCGACGTGAACACGGGTGAGTTTACGTTCTGTGCAATGCGAGTTACAAGGGAGTTTTACAGTAACGTTTTCAAGCGCTGAGGGCGTTGCGGGCATAGCGGGCGCCATACGAGCTTTAGAATAGCATTTGCCCTCATGCAAACCGCAACACACGATCGCAAGCGACACCATAGCCTCGAAACCAGCGTTTGCGGGCCGCACACGCCATCCGCTACCTCGGATTGTCTGCGGGCGGGCAGCGAACACGAACAGCGGCTAGCGTTAAGACGCATGCGCAGTGTCAGCGACTGCACCACAAGGGCTTGTGGTGCACTATTCTATGACTCCCTACTATGGTTAGTGCCGCTGAAGAACAGGGCGTCAACAAAGGCACAGAGGGTGCCATAAGGGTGCGCAGAGCTTTCCATTAGAGGAAGTCATATGTCACTTCAGTGCCCCCCTCCCCCCTTGGTCAATATTTGGTCAATTTCGGGAAAAACAAACAAGTGAACTTCACCATGGATACAAAAATGAAAAGGGACGATGTGCTTTCCACAAAGGCCAACCATCGGTTTCTTGATCTTCAAAGGTAAAGGCGGAAGTAAGCAGTTTGAATGCAACAGCACAGGTCCTCGGTGGCCATTAACATCACGCGTGTTCATAACCCTGCGCATTAAAAATGACGTGAAATGCCCCATTGAGTAAACGAGGAAAGGCGGTAGCCTTGGCGCCCCGCTTCGGATGATCAGGGGGAAGGGGGGCGTCTGTCTCCACTTTCAACTCTTTCCTCCTTCTATTTTGCTGCAGTGCTTTGTGCTGGGCACCTGGGTGTCTAGCGTGCTTCTCCAGCATAGCGTTCATATTAGAAAGCTCCTTCCGCATTGTGCCCTGAGTGCAATGAAGTTTGCGATATAGAGCACTGCATCTGGTACTGCAAGCGCTTTTGTTTTGAAAGGGAGATGCTAAGCGACAATATTAAGAAAACGAGGTATTCTTGCAATCAGAGTGAGGAGTTTCGGAAGGTGCACGAATTATTTGAAAGGTGGCGTCTGGTATTATTTTACATTATACGCCTGAGTCTGGTGTAGGCATGACGAGACATACAGGTTGAAAAGAGTCACTAAGTTGTCGGCCAGGTCTACCAGGCTAACACTGGTTGGGATAGCGTCATCACCAACATCATCCTCCGGCCTAACCACCGTCAACAAAGAACAACCCGACATGCTCCTATCGCTACCCCTCGGAGAAGGGCTAACACGACCGCATTTTTTCACAGATATAAAGAACGTCTCTTAATAGTGGTTCGTACGGCTTTTCCTTATAGCGCACTCATGCCAAGAGTTTCGATGCAGCAGCTTCACCCGTTCATCAATCTTCATGACAAACACACTCACACCTGTCATTTTTCGGCAAAATAGCAAACTATCATGCATCAAAAGATAACTCTTCGTCATTTTTAACTAAAAGGAATGGTATATTATAGACATTAAGAAGAAGTTCTGTAAGATAACATCACAACAACGCCTTACAAAGTGAAATTTAATACCTTCAATATGGTCTGTGTCAAGATAGGGCAGATGCTATCCGTTGCAAGCAAGCGCGTTCCTATACTTGACACGTTTTCAGCAGTACCATTTCCCTCTTGCAAGTCGGTGCGTTGAGACGCCTGGTGAGTTCTCGTTACGCTGAATATTACCCCTTGCTTTCATCTCGTGCAAACGTCATCAAGATGTGATGCTGCCTATACTGCCACTAGGGGCGCAGTTGATTACTGCCACATTTACTCCCACATACAGCTGCTCGACGCCGCTGTTAGCAAATCCCCTAACGTTGCGTTGACGTTTCTGTCGTGTGGTGCCGTTATTTATTTAGCGACTAACTTGGAAGTGACCTACTGACATTCGTCGAAAAATAAAAGAGACCTGTCAACAAAAGTGATGTATACGATCGAAGAAGCATAAAAGATACAAGATGAAGGTAGTACAGGCTTACGCGCCGACATCCAGCCATGATGACGCTTCAGTTGAAAGCTTCTATCAAGACGTGGAATCGGCAATGAGTAAGGTAAAAACACAGTATATAATAGTGATGGGCGACTTTAATTCAAAGGTAGGGAAGAAGCAGGCTGGATACCAGGCAGTAGGAGATTATGGCATCGGTACTGGAAACGCCAGAGGAGAGCTACTAGTAGAATTCACAGAACGCAATAATTTACGGATTTGAATACCTTCTACCGAAAACGAGAAAACCGCAAGTGAACATTGAGGAGCCTTAATGGCGAAAATAAGAACGAAATAGATTTTATAATGACCGCACACCCTGCAATCATGCAGGATGTGGAAGTGATTGGCAAGGTACAATGCAGTGACCATAGAATGGTACGGTCTCGAATTCGCCTAGACTTGAAGAAGGAACGACAGAAACTGATACGCAAGAAGCCAATCAATCAGCTAGCACTGAGAGGGAAAGTACAGGAATTCAGAGTGTTGCTGCAGAACAGGTACTCGGCTCTTATTGAGGAAACCAACCTTAGCGTAGATACAATGAATGATAATCTGACAAGTATCATTACGGAGTGCGCAGTGGAAGAGGGAGGCAGGGTAGCTAGACAGGACACTGGCAAGCTTTCCCAGGAAACGAAGAACCTAATTAAGAAGCGTCAAATCATGAAAGTGTCAAGTACAACAGACAAAATAGAACTGGCAGAGCTTTCGAAGTTGATTAATAGACGTAAGGTATGCGATGTAAGAAGGTATAACATGGAGAGAATTGAACACGCTCTGAAAAACGAAGGAAGTGACAAAGCATTGAAGAGGAAACTTGGGATAGGCAAAATTCGGATGTATGCACCAAGGGACAAAGAAGGCAAAATAACTACCAATATGGATAGGATAGTTAAAGTAGCGGAGGAGTTTTACAGAGATCTGTACAGTAGCCGAGACAACCACGAGCTTAATACTATAAGAACTAGCAGTAACCCAGATTACACCCCACCAGTAATGATAGAAGAAGTCAGAAAAGCTTTGGAAAGCATGCAAAGGGGCAAAGCTGCTGGTGAGGATCAGGTAACATCAGATCTGCTGAAAGATGGAGGACAGATTGTGTTAGAAAAACTAGCCACCCTGTTTACGTGGTGTCTCCTGACGGGAAAAGTACCAGAGTCTTGGAAGAACGCTAACATCATCTTAATACATAAGAGAGGAGATGACAAGGACTTGAAGAATGACAGGCCGATCAGCTTGCTCTCTGTAGTATACAAGCTATTTACAAAGGTAATTGCTAACAGAGTAAAGAAAACATTAGAATTCAATAACCAAAGGAACAAGCAGGATTTCGAACAGGCTACTCAACAATTGACCACATTCATACTATCAATCAGGTAATAGAGAAATGCTCAGAGTATAACCAACCACTATACATAGCCTTCATAGATTACGAGAAGGCGTTTGATTCAGTAGAAATATCAGCCGTCATGCAAACACTGCAGAATCAGGGCGTAGATGAAGTATATATAAACATTCTGAAAGAAATCTACAGGGGATCAACTGCTACCATAGTGCTTCATAAAGAAAGCGACAGAATACCAATCAAGAAGGGTGTAAAGCAGGGGGACACAATTTCCCCAATGCTATTTACCGCGTGCTTACAGGAGGTTTTCAGAAGCCTAGAATGGGAACAGTCGGGGATAAGAGTCAATGGAGAATACTTTAGTAACCTGCGCTTTGCCGATGACATTGCATTGCTGAGTTACTCGGGGGACCAATCTTGGTAGGAAGCGCACAATGTGTTCAGAAGAACACGAAACATAAAAACAGCTGCTGTGAAAAGTTGTGCGCTTTCTAGCAAGATGGATTCATATCAACTTGCCCGATATAATTGTTTATTAAAGTACTAGGTACTTCATCCTCTGGAGTAATGTTTCTAAAGTGTTATGCCATGTATGCAGGCCTTCGAAGTGTAAGTAAATCTCACCCATATTCACTAGGCCCTTGTAAAGAAGAAAAAAAAAGAGCGGTTTCCGATGTGTAGCACAGCATAGCGTTTGTTTTCACAAAACGTGTAGGCATGATTAGTAGTGAGTGAGCGGGCGCGTGTACTTAGTCTCTTCGTCTGTACCTTCAATGATACAGAAAAGTTTCACCTATGTCGGAAAAGCCTGTACATGAACTGGGAGTCCGTGAAATTAGGTGCTTCCCGTACTGTTTTTAATTTTTAGCTTTCTCAAAGACTTCACTAGAAGGAACGATAGTCTACTCTCTGCCTAAAATTTCCAGAATGCGTATTTCTCGCCACCGCTGAATCGATATCTGTACACTATAAACCATTTCATGAGCCTCACGAAGGTTTTTTTTCTGAATGCTTTGTTGCTTGGTTGTCTCGCAGACTTGCCCATGATGCATAATATTTTTGGTGTACATGCATAACAGATGTTTTTTACCATGGGCTGGTATTGCGGGTGATTTCAAGTCTCATAGAATCTGTTATGCATCTTGCGGTCATAAATGGTCATTTCACTGTAACGAAGGCCGGCCTGCGGCAGGTGACGGGGGCTTTCCGACTGTAGCCCAAAACATGTCGTTGTAAGACAGCATGCATGTGTTTGCGTCACTGTAATACAGCAGTACGGACACGTAGCACCCATAGGTAAGTGAGACTATAGCTCCAAGTTGAGATAAAAGCTGGTGTTAGGGCCACCCCTACCTGAAGCCTATATTAGGCACGACTTGCTACGCCCTAGTAAGGTGAAGGCGAAATGAGCAGACACATGGTCAGATAAGAACGCCTGTATCCGTTCGGAGAACTTTTTCCCTATATAATATTCCCTATATGTTATCTCATTAAAAGCTACTCCGCATACAACTCCGGCTTTGTTACGTTGGTATCGCATAGGCTAGCCTCGAACAGTTTTAGCCAGCGTGAAAGTTCATTGTTGTTCCCCCATTTAAAAACCACCCTGGCTTTGTTACCTAGCGCTGGCAGGAGGATACCATGCATTTTCGCCAATATGAAAGTTTGTCGCGGTTTGAAGTTGCGCTTGTTCTTGCCTTTTTCCCGTCCGTGTTTTTTACCACCTAGTACCGTTAGATCACGTATCACCACTGGCCCAATCAGTCTCCACCTTGAATTAACATAAAAACCCCAATGTGACCCGCAGGCGGTCGCATCGACCACGGACACCACGAGAATCGGGCTGCGCGGGCGCTGCGCGAGACATCGGAGTTCAGCGATGCGGTGGCCGCGGTCCTGGAGCTGGTTGACGTGCGCGAAACCCTGGTGCTGGTCACCGCGACCACTCGCACCTCGTTCACCATGAACAGGCTACCCTGCAAGGGGAAACCCTATCCTGGGATTTGCCGGAATCTCCGAGAAGGACGGTCTTCCTTACACCACACTCTCTTACGCCAACGGGCCCTCGACGACCAAGAGGAAGGCCGACGTGAACACGGGTGAGTTTACGTTCTGTGCAATGCGAGTTACCAGGGAGTTTTTACAGTAACGTTTTCAAGCGCTGAGGGCGTTCGCGGCATAGCGGGCGCCATACGAGCTTTAGAATAGCATTTGCCCTCATGCAAACCGCAACACACGATCGCAAGCGATACCGTAGCCTCGAAACCAGCGTTTGCGGGCCGCGTGCAGGTCCGCAACGCCATCCCGCTATCTCAGGATTGTCTGCGGGTGGGCAGCGAACACGAACAGCGGCTAGAGTTACGACGCATGCGCAGTGTCAGCGACTGCACCGCAAGGGCTTGTGGTGCGCTATTCTAAGACTCCCTACTATTGTTAGTGCCGCTGAAGAACAGGGCGTCAACAAAGGCACAGGGGGTGCCATAGGGTGCGCAGAGCTTTCCATTAGAGCAATTTATATGTCACTTCAGTGCCCCCCCCCCCTTGGTCAATTTTTGGTCAATTTCGAGAAAAAAAAACAAACAAGTGAACTTCGCTATGGATACAAAAATGAAAAGGGATAGACGTGCTTCTCACAAAGGCCCACCATTGGTTTCGTGATCTTCAAAGGTAAAGGCGGAAAGTAAGCAGTTCGAATGCAATACCAGAGGTCCTCGGTGGCCATTAACATCACGCGTTGCCATAAACCCTGTCGCATTAAAAACGACGTGAAATACCCCATTGAGTAAACGAGGAAAGGCGGTAGCCTTGGCGCCCCGCTTCGGATGATCAGGGGGAAGGGGGGCGTCTGTCTCCATTTCAACCCTTCCCTCCTTCTATTTTGCGCATGCTGTGTGCTGGGCACCTGGGTGTCTAGCGTGCTTCTCCAGCATAGCGTTCAAATTAGAAAGCTCCTTCCGCATTGTGCCCTGAGTGCAATGAAGTTTGCGATATAGACCACTGCATCTGGTACTGCAAGCGCTTTTGTTTTGAAAGAGAGATGCTAATCGACAATATTAAAAAAACGAGGTATTCTTGCACTTAGAGTGAGGAGTTTCGGAAGGTGCACGAATTATTTGAAAGGTGGCGTCTGGTATTATTTTACGTTATACGCTTGAGACTGGTGTATGCATGACGAGACATACAGGTTGAAAAGAGTCACTAAGTTGTCGGCCAGGTCTACCAGGCTAACACTGGTTGGGGTAGCGTCATCACCAACATCATCCTCCGGCCTAACCACCGTCAACAAAGAACAACCCGACATGCTCCTATCGCTACCCCTCGGAGATGGGCTAACACGACCGCATTTTTTCACAGATATCAAGAGCGTTTCTTAATAATGGTTCGTACGGCTTTTCTTTATAGCGCACTCATGCCAAGAGTTTCGAAGCAGCAGCTTCACCCGTTCATCAATCTTCATGACAAACACACTCACACCTGTCATTTTTCGGCAAAATAGCAAACTATCATGCAGCAAAAGATAACTCTTCGTCATTTTTAACTAAAAGGAATGGTATATCTTAGACATCCAGAAGAAGTTCTGTAAAATAACATCACAACAACGCCTTACAAAGTGAAATTTATTACCTTCAATATGGTCTGTATCAAGATAGGGCAGATGCTATCCGTTGCAAGCAAGCGCGTTCCTATTCTTGACGCGTTTTCAGCAGTACCATTTCCCTCTTGCAAGTCGGTGCGTTGAGACGCCTGGTGAGTTCTCGTTACGCTGAATATTACCTCTTGCTCTCATCTCGTGCAGACGTCATCAAGATGTGATACCTATACTGCCACTAGGGGCGCAGTTGATTACTGCCACATTTACTCCACATACAGCTGCTCGACGCCGCTGTTGCAATTCCCTGACGTTGCGTTGACGTTTCTCTCATGTGGTGCCGTAATTTATTTAGCGACTAACTTGGGAGTGAACTACTGACATTCGTCGAAAAATAAAAGAGACCTGTCAACAAAAGTGATGTATACGATCGAAGAAGCCTCAAAGCTTTTGTGGTACCCCAATGATCGTTCGAGGAGGTCAAGTTATTTACTGCGGCATCTATTTTCAAGCAGTACGTCGTAATGATTGAAATAACATTGGCTGATTGATTGATCAATTGATTGATTGATTTGACCTCGCAGAGGCCGTGGACTACCAGCAGGTGAGCGCCGTCCCATTGCGGCTAGAGACGCACGCTGGTGAAGACGTGGCGCTGTACGCCATTGGCCCAATGGCGCACATGGTGCACGGAGTCTTGGAGCAGCACATCGTTGCCCATTTGGTCGACTACGCCGCGTGTCTCGGCGACGGCGCCCGGCTGAGATCACGGTGTCAGGAGCAGAGAGCTTCTGCGGCTCCGACGGTGGCCGATTCCTCGTTAGCGCGCATCGTCAGCGTGCTTGTGTCACTTGCGGCGTCCTTGGTCATGCTGCGGTAGAGACGACGCCGTCAGCTGCGCACTCTACGTCGAACTTTTCGTACGAAGACAAGTACTGCAAGGATAGACGTTATTGAAACAGCGTTCATATCGGGGCTGGCCTCGAAGCCGTTTTAAGTAAGCTCGCCCAGCTTAAAAATCGCGAGCTTGCGCGTTAATGAAGTTTTGATTTAGTTTAGGACCAATCTATCTTACACACACAACATGCAACGCTTCAGAAGCGATGCAAGATTAGCATTTCTCGTTTTTCAAAATGGGCGTCTTCGTGCGTTTTGTAGTTATAAATGATTGAACAATCCTTGAATGAGCCTCACTTAAGGCAGCTTGGTGAACTACAAATAGTAATAATAATAAAAACACTCAAGAGAACAGCAGCAATACGCATATTTCTTGAAAATAAGGTAATAATTGTTATTTGCTGCTTTTTCACCTTTATGATACAGAATTTATGTTCTCATTTGTTGATAAATAGAGAAGAATTAGGAGTAATTATAGATAAACGTGCTGAACTATTTCTTGCTGTTAGAACAAACAAACCAACGTAGCTGATATATACTCTCAACGTTGTGCGCTCTAGGTGTGATACGGACTTCAAACAAACTGAAATGGTGGAAAGCAGGAAAGGCAGGTCTGGGTGAAATGGCCTCATGCCTGCTCATGCATGCATAACGAACAAAGGAAGAGGGGGGGGGGATATGTAAGGTTTCAATATATTCACAGAAAACATTTAGAGGACGGAGGGTGATTGAAATGTGATAAAGGTGAAATCTGCTTAGTCATCTGTTACTTTAAAGCAATTATGTAATTATGTTCGATATTCAGCAGCTCGAATAGCGCCTGTCACAGATGAGATTTAACAAACAATACACTGAGCAAACTTTCAAAGGCTGCGGTATCTCCTTTCAAAGGCGGATGAATACGAAACCAGCACCAATCGGGGCTCACTCAAGTCTGAGGTCGTAGGCGGGACGGCTGGTACGCTGCCAAGCGGTATACAGTCATGTAGGCAATCGGTGGTCATGCTTCAATTATCCGAGCGTAGGCTCTGCTGCTTTTTTTCAGCTGCAGCCGTCTTTTGTGTCAAACACAACATCTAGCTGTCTCTTTAGCTCCCATGAGACGCTTGCTACGAACAGTATTCGACTCTTCTTCATAGTATTCACTGATAGGACCCTGCTTTTGAATGTCGTTTTTCGCTACGATACGCCATACCATTTACTTCAAAGAATAAAAAGAAAGCAAGAAAAAAAAGAATGTTCACTTCTAGTGCCTCATTGAAAAAAAAATAAATGTCGCTGATAAACTTGACTGTGATGTGCTGCGTTTGTTTGTTGAAAAAGGTCAGTCACTTTATTACTGCGTTCTAGGCGATAATGGTACAAGTGGATATAGTGATCATGCATTAGTTCGTAAGCCCGTATTAGAAATTGGGGCGCTGCGCCGCTAAGCACGGTGTATGGCGTGAATTGGTTTGGCAACTATAAAGGTCACATTTCATTGTAGAATTTTTTTAGGTGTGGTCCTGCGTACAATATTGTAAGATGTTGACAGCAAAGAGGAGCACTGTCAACCAAGCTTTATTTGGCGTCGCTTGCACATATAAAGCCAAAAAACAACTTGTTACCGACAACATCACCACGTAATAAAACAAGATAAAATCAGATAAAATCGCCTACTAGGATAATCGTCGAGATAGCCTATTTCAGAAAAAAATGCGTCAAGAAACGGCTTACTGATGCATTTGCTTCCCAACTTGTTGATGACATACGCATCAAATATTTCCAGCTCTTGTTTCATTCTAAATCTTTTTAGAACTCGCGTCTTGTCACGGCCAAGTGCAAAATGGGCTGACGCGCACGGCTTGCTGCAATGAATAGCCCATATAAAATATATGGAGAGCCTATATAAAATATAGGCTCTCCTTTATATTTGATTCTATATAAAAGGATATAGAATGAAACAAGAGCGGAAATATTTTATGAATAACATTTGGTAGGTGGTTTTACCAGCTGTTATTTTCGTTTATTATGTGTCGGTGTTTTCGGCAACACGTAGTTCCTTGGCCTTATATGTGCAAGCAACGCAAGATAAAGGTTAGTTGCGAGTGTGCCACCTTCCTGTCAGCATCTTTCTTACAATTTTGTACGCGGTGCTACATTCCTAAAATTCTGCAATGAAATACCAACTATACCCTGCATAGACACCCTTGTCACATTTCAATTAGTGTGGCCAGCCGACCACCCTTTTGCACCGGTGAGAGCGCTAGTTCTCTCTTCCACCGCCGAAGCGCCAACAACGGTAAAGGAAAATTGCTCGTAAAGGAAGCCAGCCTGCTGCGCGCACTCGTTTTCGTGGTCATTGCCTCGCCCTGACTTGTGATTGCACGTTGGCTCTTTATGTGTGAGACACGCCAGATGACATGTCTGTATTGTACTCTGTGCCGTTGTTGCTACTATACGCGAGCACGCTACGCTCCCGTTAATCAGACTTAAGTAAGTATGGCACAGCGTCGTTACCAGGGATGCATGGGCGAATGCAGAACTTCATTCAACTATCTTAGTTTTTTATTCTTCTGCTTGCAACTAAAGTTATCCTCTCCTACTTATGAGACTTTTGAATGCTATATTTTTGTTTTTGCTTTCTCTGTAGAAGCCATCCTCTTTTAATTTTGGGGGGAGGGGGGTGTATGTGTTAAAGGTAAGTGATTACCTTCTGTTTAAGCAAGTGTGACATAGAATACCTGCCACGAACACACTTGCAAAACCCAGTGTATTGCATCTTAACATTGCACAAATAAGTGTCAGTTTTAAATGATGCGAGATTCAAGCATGAGTCGTCATCGTTGAACTATACTTGCCTGTGGTTCGCGGGTCACATTGCCTTCATGATTAACTCAGGGGATGACCTACAGCTCATGATTACTGAACTGGACACGAGAAGCAGATGAGCAGGTTTGAAAATTAATATGCGCAAAACTGAAGTGCAGCATGACAGAGAGCAGCGCTTTGTGAGAGGTTGTGGAACACTGCAAGTTGTAAAGGAGTGACATTAGAACAGATTGTAAGCGGGGAACCGAAATATGACAGTGAAATAACTATAAAAGAATAAGGGTGAACCACATTCGATAGATATTCTCAAATCGTGGGTGGTAGTGCACCCCTAGCCTTCAAGAGGAATTTATATAGCGGCTTCATTGTAGCGGTACTTACTTACGAAGCAAAAACCTGGAGGCTTACAAAGAGGGTTTAGCTTAAATAATGATGATGCAGCGAGCAATGAAAAGGAAAATTACACCTGTAACCATTAGTACCAAGAAGAGAGCAGATTACCAGGGAACAAACAGGGGGTAAGGACATATCGTGGTTTTGGGACGTAAAACCCCAAATGTTAAATTACTGACAGCGACGCTCAAATAATTAGCCACCAAATGCGCGCGATCCGCAGGTTTGATTGAAACAAAAATCAATGCGTCACCACATTTACTCAGCATGTCATCACTACTTATGTTTTATTAGTGCACCTCTGCATGCATGGGCTTGTCGATGCACCTGCAAATTTTTTCAGCAGCGTATGGTTTGTAGAGTTTCCTCAATACTTTCACAAATTTCAACGAGCACAACTACAAAAGAAAACAAAGAGAAAAATGCTTTACTAGTTAGTTCTGACTTATCGACGACGTTAGCTACACGACAATGTTCGAAAGTACGATATGTAGAAAAGCAGGGGGAAATAAAGGGGGGCGGAAATGTTGGCGCTAATTTGCCTTCAGAACGATAACTATGGCACCAGTGGCAACGCTGCGATAAACAATACTTGATATAACTGCATAAGGCATTTCATTTTGTGATAGTTTTTCTTACCCAAGATCTCAGCTAATGTACTCTATCATTGACTTGTCAGAAAGAACGACAATAAGGATAGTTGGCACCGAAAACATTGAAAAAAAACCAACAAAATTTAAAGCTAAATAATGAGTACGCAGTCAATCACTCTCGCAATTGTGAGTACTAGTACAGGCCTTGTTTTTTTTTTGGTGTATATAATGTTATGCCAGCGAGTCCTCGTCAAACGTCCGTGCCTCTGAAAAAGGCAATCTGGGTCAAGGCCAGCCCGCAGTCCGCCTGGCGCGATCAACTCGACGGCGTGAACACGCGCGGCGCCTCTCTGGCCCACGTGCATTGAGTCAGCTGCGCACGTGACAGCGAGCCGGCGTCCTCGTGTCTGGTGGTCTGACGCATGGCGCGGCAACCCCATTGGAGGAGTCTGCCCTGAAGACCAGCGGCGCTTCTGATTGGACATTTTGGTTGGACCCGGTGCAAATAAAAGAAGCCCTGCGGCGTGTCGCGATCGGCGGTCCTATGAGAGAGGAGTCCCCATGTCGGAGAGCCGACATGTGTGTGAGTCGGCGGTCTTAGGCGAAAAGCTGACCTATGTGTTAGAGAGGAGAGCTCGGCTCTTCGAGTCTCTGTCGGCCCCAGTGCCGAAATTGTAACGCCTCTGTATATATGCTGTACATAAACCTTGTTTAACTCACCGTCGTCTCGTCCGCTCGTCTTATCAGCTCTGCGCAGAAGCAGTCGCGAGCTGATAAACATACGCTACCAAACGGCTGGTGACCTTCCCGGCGGAATTGGAAGCAGTGGCGCCTTCGGGACCGTGTTGGCGTCGCCGGCTTTCGCAACAGTGGTGGCTTCGGTGGGATCGGTCCGGCTTTCGCAACAATAAGCGTGCGCAAAGTCGAGTACATAGAAAAAACACCAAAGCAGCTTGGTATCTGCGGGGGCCAAGTCCGAAGAAAGTGCGCATCTGATGATGATGATGATGATGATGATGATTTGCTGATGATGATGGCATGTATGTGGCTCACACCCATTCTCGGGGATTGGCCAATAAACAAATAGTTAGTAAGAATCACAGAATAATTGTATATTTAATAAATTATAATATAGTTAACAGAAATTATTTGGCTAATTATGAGATCTGGGATCGAAACCGCAAGG